AGGTTAAGCCAATTCTACGTACTAAAAGTAAAGATTGAAAGTTATGCGAATGAGTGGAGACACTGAGAAGCCAGTGAGAGTGCTCTCTAAGAGTGCTCTCTAAGAACTCAAAACCTTCGAGAGTTTGAAAAAATATTGAAAATTGTCTAACAAAAACAAAACAAAAATCATTCCTTGATGTGATTGGACGCTGGATTAATGAATAAACCACCCAACATACAATTAACTTAATCAATTAAACTTCAGAATAAGAAATATCAACAATTCGAACTGTAATAAAAATGCAGACAAAAAATAGAATACATGTTTTTAACTGAAAATTGAAACTTGTTGATCTGTCTTGTCAAATCCAAAATGAATCAGATGTTTCATCCATCATCCAATATTTCTACAATATATACTAATCGAATACTTCACATGTAATGTCAAATGAGATGTAGAGTTTTTATCCATTCATTCGCATTTTTGAAATCCATGGATGCACTATAACTCTCCTCTATCCAAGTGGATCTCTCTCTCTTTCTTTTCTTCATGAATAAATTTATGATGGATGGTGGATGTAACTTATCCATTAAAAAAACATCCATGGATATTACTTATCCAGTCCTTTTAAAAACAAAATCTATCCATGGATGAATGGATGTTGGATAATGGATAATTTGGGGGACCATTGACAGTGAGCCTGATTTTCGACGATTTTTCAACAAATAAATTCAATAATTTTGAATTTTTTTTGTTGATTTTTTCTTCAATGTGTTGATTTTTTGTATTTTTGATATTGACAAATCCACCTTATCAAAAACAATAGAAACTTCATTTATTAAACTTACATAGAAAATCAAGTCCTTTTTGTGGAAATCGAAATATATTTCAAAGATTTCCCGTTGCCAATATTTTTGTTTTGGTTGAAAAAATTAATTTTGCAGGGATTCCCCCGGATTTCGCCCGGATAATCCGGACCGGATCGACATAAAAAAAAAATCTGGCAGGCTTATCTTAAACAAAAACGCCATCTCTGTAAAACAGGTTAACTACAATGTAAATGTATAGTAAGAATAAATGAGGGGAAGGAGGCGAAGAAGAAGGGGAAACAGGTATACGTTTGATTTACATTTTAGTAAGCGCGTTTTACATAGATGGTGTTATAAGTGTCTGTCCAAATTGCGTTTGCCCTTTGTATTCACAAATGACATTTTACATTAGTTCATGCTTCCGTTGTGAAATACCAATTCAGGAGACTTACTGATCAGTGTACATATCTTGTGAACTCAAAGCGTTGAATGCAAAACAGAGGCCGTTATTAGTCATCATTGGAACGATATAATCGGAGCACCTAATATCCTTTGATTGCCATTGACACTTACGCAGTGAATAATCAAGATTGGGAGCGAGATCCTCAATTACATCGTAAATCGATTCGTTTGAAAAATAATTTTCTGATCCATGAAAAAGTATTCTTGGACAAAGGTGTGCCAATGCCTCAAGTTGTGATAACCTACGAAAAAGTACTTGTATGAAAGAAACTTATACACTCTGTAAGAGCTCTACATTTGACATTATAGTAGATTCTTAATGAAGCTTCACATATCTTAATGAGTTAGTTCTAAAGTAGTTTGCGGAGGTAGGTAATTTTCACGAAAATTATTCGAATTTGATGGGATTTTTTATTCAAAAAGTGAAAACCTTTTTTTTGCTCAACAAAAGTTGGAAATAAGATAAATTCTTTCGATATATTAGGGATTTTTGGATGCGAGAGAAATGTTTCTGATTTCCTGGGGTTTTTCGCCGAGAAAATTCTTTTGATTTTATTATTTATGACATTCATGTAGTTAATTAATCAAGATTGGGTGTGAGTTCCTCGATTACTATATAGTAAATGAATTTGTTTGCGAAATCATTTTGTAAGTAAATATAATTCAATAAATGTATTTATTAAGTCAATATAGGAGTAAAATAAATGTTACAAATGAATGCCTAAAAATAATAAAATCGTCGCGTGCAAAAACGAAACCTTCAAGCATTATCGATATAATTCGGTCCCGAGTTCGTATTAGTATAGATTTATTTTTCGTATTTGGCCAAGTTTCAGTGGGGTCAAATCTTACACACCCGAATTTTGAGGTTTCAGGTTAAAAAAAGTTTTTGACCCCCGACCCCCTTGAGGAGTGGGGGACTTGGAGGGAAGGGGTCCTTAAAAATTTCTCTCGTCATTCTAAACAGCTTTGTTAGATGGGAAAAATCCTAAATTCTACACCGATAGATTTTTTATTTTTTACCCCCAAAGGGTTTTTCAAAATTCCCACCCCCTAAGATTGAGCCTATTATATGCGCCACCCTGTATAAATATCCATAGGATATATGCTTGCTAAGAATGAGACATTTCGATTGTGTGACAATAACAATTTGGTTCTTCAGGATGTATCTGCAAATATAGAGTTCTATTTTGGTTGTTTAAAGAACCAAATTGTTATTGTCACAGAATCAAAATGTCCCATTCTTAGCAAGCATATATCCTATGGATATTTATATGCTCTGGATTGCAGCAGCTCTGAGTGAAACTCTGATTTATAGATTTATGAATCCAATTGTTGAAGCTAGTTCTAAACATATTCCATTAAACAGTATCGGAAATGAATCGTTGCAAAGATGAAAATATAATATTTGTTATAGGTTCTTACTCATTTTTAGATAGTTTCTCACTTAAGTTTAAACTGATATTCGTTCCTTTGTACTTATGCTTCATCATTTTAACTAGGGAACAAATTGTTACGGTTGGAAATGGAATCACTGAAATAGGTGCCCTTTCGTCAAAGTTTAAGACCATTGGATTCTCACTCCATTCCAACCAAATGTCACGAATCAATGTACTGCACAGTCCAAGTGATAAACCGAAACCAATTATCCACCATACTCTGTGTGTTTTATAAACGATAAAAGTGCATTGAAAATTGTAGAGATCACATTTGAAATTTAATCGATTACCTTTCACTTTTATGTAGCAATTTGTCGGTGAAATACCGAAAGCCATGAATGTTGCTATTGCTACAGAATTCATTGAAGAAAATACGAAACACTCGAACAAAACATAGTATTGACTTAAGCACCACCACTTGCATGAAGTTGACAATCACTTTCACCTAAAAAATAATTTCGTCATTTAATTCTTGGCGATTCTTGTTAAAACTTCATCATTTTCAACAAACCAAGAAAGTAAATAGAGCTTGAATGGTAGACTGGATTCCATTTTTCAACAAATACCATTGATCCTTGTCGAAGATTTTCCACACTTGTGCCCTTAAGAATGTATAGAAGGACATGTTTCAATGGCTTTACGAAAAAACAAACAGCACTGTGAAATTTTAAATGGTCGTTGTTATTCAGTTTCATCTCCAGCCACGTATACTCTCACATTGTGAAAACCTTTACATTTTATAGGTTTTCAATAGTGCAGAAAAATATGGAAAAGTGTGATTAAATCTATACACACAAAAACTTTTATGGAAATGCAGCAATACCATTCTTGAACTATATCAAGGTCATTCAAGTGGACATCACGCGTTTACATTTGAAAAAATATTATTATTGATGAACAGTCTTTTATATTTTTATTCGTGATAAAAAGCCATTTTTCAAATTTTAACGCTTGTAGAATGTTTATGTTTATTAATTGTTGTTTACATTTTACATTTGACAAAGGAAATATCAGAAAATCAATGGAAAATATTCGAAGCTAGTCTTATAGCTTTATACATATCGAGCCATAAATCCACATTCCGAATGTATTAATATTGACTAATACTGTGCATGTGCGGTGCAGTTTTTCTTTAATACATGTTACATAAAAGCAAAACTTATTATTATTACAATAATCATGATAGCATTTTATCCACAAAAATGAAACCAAATGATTTCCAAAATGAAAGTGATTACACTTATTGATGAAATACACGAACAAAATATAGAAAAAGTCATTGAAGGTAATCGGTTTAAATTCATTTACGAGGACAATTTCGGCAGCATACAAAAACGTAAAACCGAACTCATGGATCGTGCAAAATTATCATGTATCCAAAAACCAGATTAAGATCAGACTATTGATCAATAAAAATCTTTAATCAATATACATTGCCATATTTTAATTGATAACTGTTTATTTTTCAATGAAATTAAAATATAAAAACGGAATCAATCGATTTTCCACAAATAACTTTGACATTCATTTAATATTCAAGTATTTGGGCACAATAAGGAATATTTTCGATTTAATACTATTGAAATGCAAAGGATAAAGGTTTAATTCATATCGAATTGAAAAACAAATATTGAATAAGTTCCAGGTTTGGGTCGAAGTTATGGTAGTTGTATTTATGTCCAAAGGCGTGCATGCGAATTTCGTCTTTGAGTAGATACCAATGCGTTAATTAAATCGAAATTCGAATAGTATCTATGATTATCTTTTTCAACTTTAATTTTTATAACCAATGACAATTATCATTTCGAACGTAGGCAACAATTTCCAATACTCCTTAAACTATGCAAACATTCAATCGCTTAATTTAATTCACAATAGTGTGCGATAAAGTGAGTCATTTAAGACGAGAGTGGGGATTTCCCTATATACTAGCCTAAAAATAAAATGCAGACGTATTTTTTTCGATAGATGTTTTTTTTTACTTAACGCTCGCAACGTCATATTTAAACATGATATGATATTACCTCGTTTTTTTTTAATTCTCTAAATGTATTCCTATTTAAGTCGAATATTTTATACATAACAGTATCAACATTAACTGTTGATATGAACGTAAACAACCACTTAGCGAGGTTATCATTGTGTGGAATAAATTTCCAGTTTTAATCATCAAGTTTCGAATTGACTGAAGTTTTGGTATTTTAATGTCACAAAATGTAAACTGAATCTTTAGTATTCACTTGAACTTGTTTGTGAACACATCTATTCATGTGAGCATTTATTATAAGTTGAACGACACTTTTAATATAAACAAAAATAACAAAGTATTGTTTCAATTCTCAATCATGAATTATTTCACAAAATTCGTAGTATGTGGTAAGAAAAGTGTTGATTTTCAATTATTTAGTGAAGAATTCTTATTTTATTTTTTTGTGTTTTTTAAAAGCATCGATTGCTCTGTCATCAGCAAGACCACAGTTCGGAAATCCATTTTCAGCAAATCCAAATACGTGGGGACAAAGTCAACCCCAACTTCAAACCAGCTTTCAGAATCAAGGCTATCAGAATTCGGGCTATACGAATCCAGGCTATTCGAATCCAGGCTATTTGAATCCAGGCTTTCAGAATCAAGGCTATCAGAATCCGGGCTTTCAAAATCAAGGCTTTCAGAATCAACGCTTTCCAACCCAGCCTCCTCCGAACGTTTTTTATGGAATTCAATCAAATCCAAATATGAACTTTAATCGTAGACCAGGAAATATCAATCAACCATTAAATCAAAATCAATTGAATGGAAGACAACCTACAACAGAGCCCGACACATTTCCAGCAGCACTCCCTGCACAGCCGCAAGCACTTTTAGATTGTCAAAGTAAATGTATCACAACAAACCAATACAGTCCTGTGTGCGGCAGTGATAGACAAACCTATTTTAATAGCTATAAATTGGATTGCACAAATAAATGCAGACGTCAATTGGACCGAAGCTTTTCTGGTAATCACAATGACGTCAATAAACAACATGACTGAATCGAAATGTTTCATATTTTTCTATTTTTTATATTTTCAGATATTCAAGTTGCTAGTGCAGGTGCATGCATTCGGAATACATAAATATATTTTGAAACGCATCAATCGAGTATCACAAATCAGTTGCATGCAAAATAAAAAAACATCATCGTCGTGCATATTTAATCATTAAAAATATAATGTGTAGACTAAGTGAAAAAAAAAAAATCAAAAATCATTAATAAAATAGTTGCTCCACTCTTAAACATACTGAAACGATGGCTTTTATTCAATACTATCTACAAGTTGAACAAATTCAAGAATGCGAGTTCACATTATGCAATTAACTGGCTTAACATTTTACGAGTTGATAACACATGACAAAATAACTTCTTAGTCCGTATCTGACATTCAATTTTTTAAGGTGTCCTTGAACTTAAATTTGTAGAGCATGAAGTTAAGACTAGAGTAAAACTCGTGAATAACGGAACATTTATTTAACAGAATTCATGTGAATATTGGAATAGAAAAATATGCCAATTGAAATTTTGAACACTCGTACATAGAGAAGTTATATTTACAACATACCTTCCTTTATTCCTAACCTTCACATTCATACATTGGAGATTATCACTACTTCTCTACGGATTCATATGTCAAGAAAAAATAAAAATATATAGAGGGTTAAACTAAAATAAATTCAAAATAAAGAGTAAGTTCTAATAACGAACTCAACAAGAGCGAATGTTAAAAAATCATTTCCAAAAAATGTTTTTCTATGAACGGAATAATGAAATGTAACGGAATTCATGCGAATAGCGAAAAAGATATGGTCCCCTGTGATTCCGTTATTCATGTATATACTGTAAATTTTTCATGCATAGGTTTTGACTGAATTGAAATGATAACCTTTGCAAAAGTCATATATAATAATTATTAGTATCGGTAGATGAAGTATACAATCACAATAAAATTGTACTTGCGGTTGTAATACAACTTGTATCGATTATTGAGATTATTTGATTGCACTTCTAGTTTCTTGTCGGAACACAAAATATATACGATATCTGGTTGAACACATGACATGTGAAAACATCAGCTTTTAATTCAGTTTCAATTTTAATTTAAGTGTTTCGTAAAGATAATAGTTTCTGTGCTTTTGAAATGTGTTTTTGATTAAATTCAAGTAAAAACTCATACATCGATGTGTATTGCGTGAATGCTTGAAACCTGATACGATTCATTCATACTTTATATCTTCATTTTGCACACAGCATTCGTTCAAGTGTTTATGAACGTAACATAAGAAGCATAATAATCATTATTTGGATATATTTCAATTTAAACAAAAACAACACTTGTTATGTACAAATAAACTGGAGATTTCTAGTAAGTTTGGCGCAAATTTGCAAGTTTTTTACTCGAATTTTGTTGTGGAGACAACTATTTCGAATGAACTAGTTTAATAAAGAAAGCATTAAAGATCAGTGAACAATGATGAATCACTATAAATGTTGGCAACCTAACAAAAGGGGGAGTGTGACTTTGTACAATAATTCGAAAAAATAACTTCATAAAATATCAAATATTTGAAGGGAATATCAAATTGTGAAAAATGATGACATTAATATAAATTGCGATTAAAAATGGAATTACCCAGTCAATTCGAATGTTATTGAATGGAACCAAACGCAATGTCTGTTCTATTCATAATCTGTTATAATTTGATAAGTGGATTCAAAACAAATAAGTCATAATATACAAATTACAATAAAATCGGGCAAAAAATATTCTTTTATATTCGGATTTTCCAACCTTAATCTATTAGCTAAACCTGATTTTTTAATCAAAGCACATAAAAACTGTTGTCATCATTGATGTCTCATCAATGTTCTTATATTAAATTATATTACGCTATACATAGTTGCCCCTCGACCAAATACTCCGCTTGAAAAGATATAACCAACTACAAAATTTAAAAACTTCAACTATAAATTCGGTGAATAGATCGATCAATCGGAGAACAGTGTTGAAACAATGCAAAAAAAGAGAAATCTTGCTTGAAAACATTTGGAATACACACGAAACATGATCGATATTTCAAGCACGTAATATACAAAGATTTTCAGCAAATGGCTCATAAGCACTTTGTTTGTATGCAGCGAATGTCGAAATGGACCGCATAAAATAAAGATTCCGATTTGCTTTCGGATATACTGGTGGTGTGATGGTGCGCATTTATCGCAGTCGTGTGTTTATTTGCAAATAAATCCCCAAATAAAATGCTCATGGAGCAAAGAAAAACGACATTTGCGGTAACAATAACGACTATAAAACAATCATCGCCGTTTTTGTATCGAACAACAAGCACAAATCCACCAAAACCAAATAAAATTATGAGTATGACATCTTTGTTGAATATACGAACCAGTGACCAATGATTCATCGTTGCCGAGATATATGCTTTGCATAAAAATATCCATTTATTGCAGCGTATGAAGGAACAGAGCTGTGTTGTGTATGGTGTATAATATATTGCAATGCACAGGCATGAATATACACGTCAAACACAACACAGCTCTGTTCCTTCACACGCTGGAATGTACGCAAGCAACAAACTCTCAACGATGTGTGACCGTATGCATTTATTTTTTTGCTGCAATTTTTATGCAAAGCATATATCTAGGCAATGATGAATCGTTGCCACTTACTGTTTGAAAATAAGACAAAAACTGTTGCTCAGGAATACAATTCAATTTCTATGGAAGTTTTTTTCATACATACTTAAGTTAACTTGTTCATTACAAATATCCAAGTAGCAATAGAAATTTGCACAATGAGAATTTGATGAAAACAAATATATTTTAGTCAAAGGCCAAGCGCAATTTGGACAGATACTTATAACACCATCTACGTAAAACTACAATGTAAATCAAACGTATATTATACCTGTTTCCCTTCTTCTTCATATACTTCCCCTCATGGCGTTTTTCTGTTAGATATGTGACGTCACAATACAATCATATTGACTGCGCTCATCTCTCGATTTAAGTAATGTCATTTCAATTCACACACTCACAATGCACCAACTTGTGCAGATTTATTTCGAGATTATATTTTCATAAAGAAAAATTGCAGAAAACTGCAAAGAAAAAAAGCATGTGTCACCCAGTTTTTAATTGCTGAAAGTTTAAAGTTTGAATATACAAGAGATAATATGAATAAAGTATTGTATTTTGCACACATTTTCGTCGTCTGCTTTATTCAAATATAGTCTGATGCTTTTCACTCACAACAGACAACACGTCATAGAATTCGGATGGAAAATGATTCACATTCACACTCTAAAGCCAAATTACCCAGAAAAATGCATTAACAAAATTGAACATTTATGAAAAATGTTTCGGATTATGGATAATGTGCAACACGAAAACCGAATTGTTACTAACATTTCGTCGTTATTGATAATTCTTTAATTTCACCATTGTGACTACGAGTTAATTAAAATATTCACATTTTATTTGGAAGAAATGAACGCTGGAAATGTTGAATGTGTAGGTAAATGATCGTTAAATTAGGTTTCTTCAGTTAAGGAGCTTTTCATCCAACTGAAAAATCTGCGATAATCTCTTGTTTATGCGCATTTTTCGTCTTAAATTAAGTTAATTATAATCCCGATATTCAACTTTAATTTCAAAGCACTATATCTCTTATGTCCTGCCATGTTTTCATGTCGTGCGGTAATTTATTGCTTAACCGGCAACAGTAAGATATCGTCTGACATTGTTAAAAAAGAAGAAATCGTTTAAAATCGTCAGAAGATTATTAGATGTTGTCATCGTTATGAATCTATCATTTTATCCCTCGTTTTGATAGTTATGTCGTGATGATGGTACTTATTAGCAATGAATTAGAGCGCATAAAATCTGTATATGGCCGTACACTGTCGCCTGCTGTTTTTATAGTCTTTATCAATTTATTCTCGATGATTTTCTTTTAAAAGACCTTTTCTTTGTTCTTCTTTCTGTTTTTATCTTTATTTAAACGAAAGATGCATTTCTGCATGTGCTTTTCTTATACAAATAGCTGTTGAGAGTATAATTTGACTAATTAGAAAGTGTTCCAAACTACTGAGAGACTACACCACGTTGACAGCATACAAGATTCTGTAAGTAACTAAATAAAGAGTAAGACAGAATGAACTAGCCATAATATAAATTCAGTCTGTAATCAGACGGTGAATAAATAATTAATAAATATACAAATAAATGCTGATTTGGCATTGAACAAATAAAATGTTTTGAAGTAAAGGATATTCCTAAGACGCACATACATTCTCGACGGAATTCCACGTTGTCGAGTAACTTACAAACATCTTCAAGGTTCTTCACTATCAATGTCTGGACATTTTTTTATTGTTATGTTCGAATCATATTCGAAGAGAATTGAGATGGAGATATTTGTAAAATAAAATCACTTATAAAAATTATCGAATGAATAGCAAATATTTAATGAATGATTCATTCGCATATGTGAACACATTTCCTTTTTCCTTTTATATCGAATTCCCGTCTTCGTATGCACATTTAACTCACGTTGAAAGGGACATTTGAATTTAAGGACGAACAAAATGTGTAAAAGACTTATTTAATGGTATTTATCGAGAAATGTAAATAAAATTCAGACGAAAACTTTGCCGAAAATATATAATTCCAAATACAAATATTCAAACTTACACTTTTGCCCGTAGCAGAGCATTTCGTCGAAAGCGTATGAAAATCGAATGGAATTATGAATTTTCAGTTTTTGAATATGAGCCCTAACTTTATTTTATGAAAACGATGAGTTTGCAATAGACCAATGTAAACAATTAACAAAATATTTTCAACGTTTTATCTTTCATTCAAATGAGACAACAGTGAATAACAAACTCTTTGTTAGAAATCTTTTAAATTCAATAGTTTGTTCCATCGAATATTTATCAAGAAAACATTGGTTTTTTGTGACTTTAATTGTATTCATTCATTTAGGTTTTTAGCAATGTTGAGGATAAAATTTAACAAAACAATAATGATGATGTAAATAAAAAAATAACAACTTGAAAATACCTTCCTTTAAAAAAAAAACATGACATGTTATTCGCTCCGTTATGTCATCAATTCCCTTTCAAGGCGGATCTAAGAGTATGGAAAGTCTCTATGCCAATTGTCGATGTAAACCAATCTTAAGATACATCCACACAAAAGAATGTAT